GAACGGGACAGCCAAAGGGTTAGTGCCAACAAACTCAGGATTTGCATGTTAACTGCAGTCACTTAAACTGCAGTGATATGACTCAGACTTGGTCTTGCATTGGAACTCCAAAAAAATGCTGTTGTTGTTGCACAACAGTCCAAGAAATTGAGACCAGTTTGCTTCCTCCTGTGCAGCACCAACTACAGCTTTTATTCCTGTCCAAGTTAACAAGCACATTCCTAACAGTCTCCGAAGTGGAAATCCCACAGCTACTCCAGGGAATAAATTCAGGTACTGCTGGCAAGCTAAACTTAATGTGCAGCTTGCCACAACCAGCTTATCCTGATCTCTATTCAGCAGCATGGTGGGCAAGTAGCTGTTTTCCTTTTGGGAGGTTTTATGTGTTTGTCTGACCTTCTCAGAATGGTGAATTTTCTTCTCTGAAGCCCAGACTGTTTTTGTTCAGGTTTCCTGTGCACCCACTATATTCCCCCTTTCCTCATCCCAAGCCACTTTTCCAGTTCACTCAAAACATCCCAAACATTGACAGTATCCTGCAAAAAATTACAAGCCCTTCCAGGGCTGTACTATATCTGTGAATCTGTGATTATGCAAGAATTATTTTAATCTGATCTCCACTTCCTTATGTTGCCAGCTAGAAATTTAGACAAGACAAAAAGCACACACCTGCCTCCTCCTACCACCTTCCACACTTGTAACTTCTCTGAAAGTTTCCTGCCCACAATGTTAATTTTAAAAGCAAGTTATGAGAGACCATGTCCTAATGCATGCTAAGAAAACCATAGCAGCATCCAAGACATCTGCTGCCTATGTTCTGAATAGTGCCCATTGACTATGTATGGAACAACACTGGAATAGCTTAGCACAATTTGTTCTTAAGTAGGAGGTAAAAATTGTTTGACTACTTGCTTCAGAATTCTTCCAAGAGACACAGGTCTAAATATCACCAGCTCCATTCTTCTCTGCCTTTTTAAAAACATGCACCATATTTATCATTTTCTAGGTCAACTCTCCAATTCCCCCCAAACAGGATGAAGGTTTTTTCTTATCTTTTGAATGCCATTTCCTATCTTTTCTGAATCTTCTCTCTTTGTACTCCTCCTATTTTTTTTGGTTTCTCCTTGTAGTTTAATCCTGTTTCCTTTTGGCATTTGGTAGCCCAGGAACAACGTGACCTAACAAGCTGTTCTTTCTACACTAGTCAATCTTTTACTTCACAGGGATAATACACTTCAATTTACCACAACTTCAAGCCATGGTCGCAGAAGAATCTCCCTCTTTCCTGTGCTGACTGAGCACTCTCCCACTGCACTGTTCAAAGAACACCACATATTCAGACTGTAAATTACTTCTTTCCTGCCAAGGGCATTCAAAATAACCTCCATATTAATGAAAACAAGTTCCCTTACTCTCATCAGTCAGGGCAATAAAATCAAAGATGAATTAATGAGACTTTTCTCCTTTCAAGCCAATTCCAGAACTCATACATGTCTTGTGTTTTTTAAGCAGAGGATGCTTCTGGTAGCTATGCCAACAGATGCATCCTCTGCTATTAAGAAACACCACACCTTCCCTTTGTTTCATTAATTCACCCAAAGCTTTGCTCTCCCAAAAGTGTTTCTGCATTTTAGTCTACACATCTCACTCTGGCTGCAGATAACTTGGTTCCATAGGCCTGAACATGCTGCAGGTCAAGAGAAGAGAAAAGCTTGCTGATTCCAAGCAGCCCAAGGTAAGACCCCACAGTGAGTATTTCTAGAATATCTAAAGTCTTCCCCCTGCTTTTGAAGGGCATTCAAGCTTGTTCAGCTTTTTTTCTTCTTTCAGAAGAGTGGAGTGACTGCCAAACTGAGAGGATTTTTATCTAATGTCAACACTTCACAAACACAGTGGCAATCTCCTAAACTGCTGTACCCCAGTCATGCACTTAAAATCCAGAAAACAAACACAGTTTTAGGAGTCATTCTGCTCCGAGAAGTGATTATGCAAGGTCCCCAGACTTCCCCATTTGTCTGCTCACATTTGTTACAGAAATATTTTGATGTGGCCAAACCCCTGTGTTTGGGGGTGATAAGTTTGCCCTGTCTATACTATTTAATCTCTCCAATCAGTTATCCCATCACCAGCACTCCTCTGGTCTATGCCCACAATCACTTCCAGAAGTGCTGCCCACAATCACTTCTAAAAGTGCCACTGGAAACTTGCAGGGGGAGAAAAAAACTTTTACTGACAGACAGCAGTAGGTTCATGATGCAGTTATAATAAAATAGGAACTAAGCAATCTAACAGAACCCTGTGCAAAGTAAAATCTTTATTTCATTTTCATGCCAAGAATGGATTTTGATGTCAGCTACCTGGTAGTTTACTTAATATCTTTTTTCACTTTGTAACAGGAAAAGTAATTTGATAAATTGAGAAACAACTTCTGACAAAGAAGGGTGGAATCACCCTTCCCTTTCCCCCTCCCTGTGAGGAGCAGGGCTGTTGACACTAGTTCACAGTAGCTCTTAACCATTCCCTCTCTGAAAAGGCAAGAGAGACACTCAAGTCTTAGATGATATTTCCAAATATATGCAATTCATTTTCACACAGACTCTTAAAGCTTCACATAAAGCTGTGAAAACACAAGTTATTTCAATTTCAATACAAGCTGATCTTACTGTGTGGTTCAATGGTTGACATGACTTCCTTCTCAGATATCACCAGCTGGCAGAAGTGGTCTCCAATGTTGGCGAGGATGTACTTTGCTGTGTCCAGATCTAGACCCACAACATTTTTGGATAAAGGTAGCCACAGGCTAATAGCCTCAGGGTCGTACTTATTTGGAGTTAAGAAACCTTCCTCACGCAGTATCCCATGCTTGTTAAACTGCAGCCTGATGACAAAGGGGGAAAATGAGAAAAAGCCCTCATCACTTCAAATGCTGTACTGGTTTAAATTCATTTCAATCAGTCAATGCTTGAGTGGCAAGTGTGTGTACTGTATGCCAATGAATTTACTCAAAGGTTACAACAGACATGGGTACACATTCTGGTCACTAGCATTAGGCACGTTCAATGCACTCCTTGAGCTAACGAAAAAAAGACTGAAAACATTCAGGTTTTTAGTTAGGAAATCTACCTTACAACAAGTGTTTCTTTATTCACACAAAACCAAACTAGATTTACAATTTTTAAAATGCACTGGCATTAAAGGCCACATCTAGAGATGACAATAGCAATAATTTTATCTAGGACTACATACAACTCTCAAGAGAAGTTAGAATGCCTTAAATATAGATTATATTTCAGTAATGATTCATTTGGGAGCAGCTGTCAAAAAGCATCAAGCAAAATTTGAGTAAGATATAGTCTTGAGTGATTCTGAGTAGGTGGAATGAATGAGATCTACATTGTTAGTAGTGTCTTAAATGGAAAACATGAAGAGGTCTGCTCAGGAACATTTTTACTAAATGCTGAAGAAGGAAGGTGACTTCTGATGACAATGTGTGCCCACTGTAGTGTTAGGTGCGCCATGAGAACACGTGCTGGCAGGTGCTGTCATCAGACAAATGCCATCTCCAAATGTGGCAAACTTCACATTCAATAAAAAGGGAAAATTCCATCAGTTTCAAGTTCTAAACCAAAAGATTCATGTGATGTGAACTGCACTGGCAAGTCTGGATTGCTACCCTGAGAGGATGAATTAGCAAACTCTGTTGTTACTTTGGTCTCACACATCAGATTATACAAAGATTAACTATAGTAAAATCTCTAATCTGAGGATAAATAACAGATTAGTAGCACATCAGTATTTTTAAAAATGGTTAGCAACAAAACAGAATTCCAGTGGGTGCACAGATTAAACACTTGCATGAAAAGCTTAAATGATCCCAGCTGAAAGCCCATAGCCACTTAGTGCAACTCTTCTACGGCTTTGGGTTCATGGCTAACATTTCAGGTGTCCAACCACTAAACTTTGGGAAACCTGCATGGAATCTACCCTCTCATCAGTATCTCCAATTCTACTGAGCTGCAGCACTCAAACTAAACTCATGTTATCCTACTGGCACTCAGCCCAGAACAGCAAAATAAAGAGCTCTAAGTCTTGCCAAAATATTTTCTGCTCAAATGAAGCACTTGTATGATTTCTAAGGGCTAAAAACCCATTGGCAGCCACTCATTCGTTGGGTATATTGCTCTTATAGCTACACACCAGCGTTAAACAGCTTTGAAACAGAGACCTCCATGAGACTATTCTGGCCATACAACTGGGTTTTTTCACCTTTCACAAGGTGTTGATGAGGACTGTTCTCACCTCCTGAAGTGGAAGAAGCGGCATGAGACTATTCTGACCATCCAACTGGGTTTTTTTCACCTTTCAGAAGGTGTTGATGAGGACTGTTCTCACCTCCTGAAGTGGAAGAAGCGGCAGAAGACGGTGGAGTCCCTCTGCTCCTTGTTCTTGCGGTAGCTGTCCAGGCGGCACTCGCGGCACTTGTGCAGGTGAGGGGCGATGTTATTGCAGGAGCCGTCCTGCACGAAGGCCTCCCCACTCTGCTGCAGCTTCTTCACCTTAGCAGCGTCAGACAAAATGGACTTGCGAACAATTACTGCAGGGGAGAGCAGCCAGCATTAGAAAAGCCTCGCTTCTTCTCACAGAAGTGCCAGCAAATGTATTTTAGTGAAAGATTCACATCAGCTTTTCCTGTAAGTTTCACATTACACTGAAACTAAGTTATGCTAAAAATATTTGCAGTTGGCAGAAACCTCTTCTGCAGTCAGCAGGAACTGTCTCAAGCTGCAGTTCCAGTGAAGTCACCCAGACCCTGTGGAACCAAGAGCTCCTTTCACTTTTTCACATTTTGAAAGAACATCTGCTTTTAAAGGAAGTTCTTCAGCCAGACTTGGGGCCCCAAGCAGATTAGGGCATGCAGCAACCATGTTTCACAAGAAATGGGGACAGAGTACAACCTGGTCATTTCTCAGTCCTGTTTTCCCCCTTCATGATGCAACAGATTTCAGCATCTTACTGTAACAGATGCCAAACATTTCCCTGCCTCCTACACTGCCAGTGAGGCCTTGCAGGGGACACAACAGAGACTGCTTGGCTGGCTGTGTATCCATGCTAATTATGGAACAGCACATAGTAATCCAAGACCAAGCAACAAGAGATTAAAAAAGAACAGAGGTGGGTATGTAGGGGGATTCCCAGAATCCTGAACAATCAGCAATATCACCTGATGCACAGCAGGACACATTACACCAGGAGTCCAGCTCCTTAAACAGCCACAGCCTTTCCCCTCCTGTCCCATGTGAAAACCTGAAGAGCTCACCAAATGGAAAAGAGGAACAAGGTGGGTGGTTTTGGGGCTGAGTGGGTTTTTATTTTCAGTGGCAGTGGGTGGGTTTTTGTTTGTTTTGCTCTTATGACAGTTTTTAAATGAAAACCCCTCTTTGAAAGAGCTTTGCTGAGGACAGCTTCCACCCCTAACCATGTTTGTAAAATTTAGGACCATTGCTAAAAGGTAGTCTCATGATGCCATCATCATCTGTATTCCAAAAGAACCTTGATTTTGTAACCTCGTTTGCCAGTCTGTTCTTGCATATATTTTGTAACAACTTATTTCTAAAAATTAATGATTACTCCTTTTCCTTTATCAGGAAAGGTCTTTCTCCAGCTTGTTGCATTCCTGTCTTAAAAGAAGATACAAATTATTCAAATTCCTCACACACTTCAAATTACCAATTTGCAAATGTTACAGATTACCTACTTCCAAGCAATTAGAAATCACAGGGACTTTGAAATTACAGGAAATTTTAGAAACACTTACTATTATCCTGGACCTTGGCACTTCCAGTCCAAAAGCTTTCACTTTCACTTTTGTCACAAAGAATCTCATTTGAATTTCTTCTAATAAAAAACTCCACGTCTGCAAGTTCATCAATCTTGTTTCCTTTGTGGCTGCTGTGGCTGATGCAGCTGCTCTGTGATTTAACCCCACACTCAGTGAAGGACAGAAGATGAGCATCTGAGGTTGAGGGTCTGCAATCTAAAGTTCGCTGCAGTTCAACAGTGCCACTGCCTCTGGGTATTGCTATGGAAGGGTTGGGATGCTGCAACTGTTTTATGGAAATGCATTCCTTGGGAAAGTTTGTTGCGGCCTTCATAAAAGGTTCATTAGTATTCTTCAGGTTGGTTCCCTTTTCATTAGCTGAATCAGTCAAAGATGAAGATCTTGAGGTTTTCAAAGAGGTATATTTACCATTTTGCTCACTGGGATTTTGTGTTTGTTCTTTAGACATGAAGCCCACTTTAGGAAAGGCTGTCAGCTCTTCTGTCAATGGTTTAACTCCAGTATTAAGACAGGAAGGATGAGTTTCCGGTAAGCTTCGTCTGCATGTGCTGAAATACAACATGCAATAATTAGGAAAAAACCCACAAACATGTCAAACAAATCAGAGCATCAGCTGCTCAATCTAACCACACAGAGCTCGAAAGAAGAAATTCAATTATTTATGTGCTTTGAGTTCTGATGTGTGAGTATTTTAAATTCTGTGTGAGGCTAAATGGGTTTGTGTTTTTCAGGTGTTTTATCTGGGTTTGACTTTTTTTTTTAAGAGCCAGAACAATAAAACTCTACACCCTTGTAGGCACACACAAAATTTGGGTATTGCTGCTACTCCACTTCCTTCTCTCACAAATAAATAGTTGCTTTCTCATTTCCTCCAGGCAACTGCTGAATAACCAAATGCATTTAATTTGCATGTCTCCGGCACGATTCTCAAGGAACTTCTGACTGGTACCACAAGTCAGTATGCTGGAGATTATAAAACCTCTCTCACAAAAAAAAAAAAAACCCTTTTAAAAATCCTATTTTACACATTATCATGTGAGAGAGGTAAAACAAGCAGAAAAACCCCTATTAGCACTTCAAATTTGTGTTTTCCTGTCACACTATTTCTACCATTACATTCATTTTGTGACACAACTGGGGGTAACAAAAGTCCAAAGGCACTTGGGTTCAACAGAAATATAACTGGGGACCTGTAGTTGATTTGCAAAAAAGACACCTGCCTGAGCATGTTCTGGTTTTCTTGGGGGCAGGGAAGGAATGCCTTTGACAAAGCAGGCACCACACCTGTGTATCCTTTTACAGATGGGGACAATGAAATAATGACACTGACCTGGGACATTGAAGGGCCACTTCCTTAAAGTTAAGTAAGAACATTGCATTAGGAAGTAAATTACATATCCAGGGTAAGCAAATCAACACTTTCCTATGCTGGTATTGCAGAAGATTGTAGTTACTACAGCTCTTTAAAATGACCTCCGAGTTCATTGTGCTAAGAATCAATTCTTTTTGGAGGTAAAATGTCTGTATAAGCATAAAACTGCTTCCTTACCCCTGAGGAGTTTCTGCACCAAGGTTGGGTGGTGAGTTGGCTGGCAGGGGCAGGCCTGGGTGCCTTTGGTCTTTATTTGCAGGAGTACATCCCAGCAGTGCTTCACCCAGCACAGTTGGTACTGACTGCACATGTCCCTGACTGGGAGAAACCTGCAAGGGAGAGTTTAACAGTTAGGAAAATTCAGGATAACAAATTATGGCTTTGCAGAGTTCAGCCTGAAAGGAAAAACACATTAATACTCTTCCTACCATGTTTAATAAAGTCAATTAAAGTGTCACTCAGTTCATGAGGTGGAAAGACCTTAAAATGTCCTTTTAAACCTTATAGGTTCCATGAAAGACTCTTCATGTTAATTAACTTCCCCCAATTAACAACTAACTTTTTGGGGGAAACGTATTAAGAAAGTAGAAAAAAAGACAAAAAGCTCTGCTCTTTGTAACTGCCAGTGCAACAATGTTTCTACAGTAACTGCAGTAATTGGCAGTCAGAAATAGATTTCTAAGCTCAGCTGAAAATCCCAGAGAAAATCAAATCTGTGAAGACTGACAGCATTACCAAAGATCTAGATGTGAACTTTCTTGTAGCAAGAAAATCTTTGCACCAGAGTTCCATAAAGTGTTGAGTACAGAAATCCTACATTGATTAAATCACCATCCCAAGAAATCTGTAATTCATTTAGGAATACAACAGGCCTACCAAATTAGCAAGTGTCTTTAGAACAGTAGCTTTTCTGTGGGGGTCCTTCCCCAGCTCCAACATCCTTGTTTACTCCCACATGCTCCACTTACTGCTGGGAAGTTACACTAAAGGCTCATTAGCATCAGCTCCAAAAGATGTCCTTTTTGCTTTGGTATTATACAGTTGTCAGGTACCAAGACAAGCTCAGAAAAATGCTGCAGCTAATTAACTCCACACAAGAAATCAGTACTATCACATATTTATTATCAAAAAATACAGCTTCAGCTAATGACTCCCACATACTCACATCCACCAAAATCAGAGTAACAAATAGTTCCTGGTTTCCCTACTAGAAAGCACACTCACTGTAACCACTTTGAAAAAATGGTTGCAAGGCATTTCCCAGAGAGTGCAAAAGTGAAAAATTATCCAGTCCTTTGAAGGAAGGTAGGCTGGAAAATGAGAAGTAAATAACTTCACTACTTTAAGGAAAAACTATGGTAGAACAAGGTATGAATTCAGATTGTGGTAATTCTTCAGCAGGGCATTTGGAATGTGAAATACAGCCCAGCTTTGTGTGTGTCAAGCAGGCTGTTTAATGGCTGAATTATACAGAAAACTGAAGAAAGGCAAACTGAGCACCAAAAGCTGCTAAAGGTACCCAAGCACAAGCTGTGGAAACACAAGACTGCAATCCTTTGCTCCTCCATGCTGCCCTGCTGCACACTCTTCCTCAGCAGTAAATACAGGACAGGACACTCTCTTCATTGAGGCATCTTACCCTGTGCTTGGTACCTCAGGCTGGTTCTTTGTGAGGTTGTTAAAGATTGCTAATGACTGTATCCAGCCACTAGCCAGATCTGCACAGAAGTAACACAACCCTTTCCCTCACATTCCAAATCTTCCTGAAGACTGGCTACTCCTGCCTAAAATCCATGTTTTGGTCTGAAATACTGGGGCAAAATTACAGGGCAAATTTTCTTCAGCCAAGCCATGATTTTTCATTTGCGTTTCTACACTGAAGTTACCAGATAGTCTTTTGACATTTGAGACTTTACTTATCTCTCAGTGATACCTGGCAGGTCACTCACAAAAGAAATAAAAGTAGACATGAGAGTAGCAGAAAAGTCACATCTCCTTTCTGTACTGGAACAACCTCCAACTGCTGCTCATGCAGCTTGAATCCTCAAAGCATCCAAGTGCAGCTGAAGGTTTTGGGTTCAAGTACAAAACAGTTAAAGAAAGAACATGAAAAGCAAAGGTTATAAACCTCAAAACTCCTTTGTGTTTTCTCCCACTGCAAGAATACAAAACCAGGCAGACCAACTCTTAAGCAGAAGGAGGGGGCAAAAAGCACAGTAAAAAAACCCCAAACAAAAACTGAACAAAAAAATCCCAACATTCAAGGCTTAGTAGCTTTTGCTCCAATTATCACAAGGCAAGATGCTCAATTCATGCCCAGACAAGTTTGAAAGGACTCAACACACCCTCCAAGGGATTATATTTATCATTCTACTTTCCAATCTAATCCTCATTTAAGATGTTTTGAGAAGTGACATAATCATTATGTAACAGCCATATATAACAGAGCAAGACATTACCTCAGGAGAAGATTTTGTGTGTTTAGCATCAACACTGCCACTGCTGTCAGATGACTTCCTTTTCACACCCCCAATTCTTTTTGATTTATCTGGAAGAGAAGGTGAGCAAGATTAGTCTATCACAAATAACCTACTTAGTGTTTGAAGGACAAAAAGTAATAGGTCTTACCACATTTTCCATTGTTGTCATATATGATTTCAACATGAATTAATTCTGGATCAAGAGTTTTTAAAGCTGGAATCTTGAAAAGGACAGGAAACACAGAAGCAGCCATTTAGAAAGGTGAAACTCTATTTGAATATAAATTTATCTTAGATGTGGTGGTATGGACTAAGCTTAGACATTTAACTTCTAGGTTCTTTGAATACCAAGCTGAATTTAACAACACACCATGTGACAGTGTCTCTGCATAAAAATACAAACTGGTGCTTGAGAACTTGTGCTGTCTGCACAGCACAGAGACAAAGAAACCAAGATCATGTTTGCTTCACTCTTAGAATAAAAATTGCAGATCTCCCTCATTTTTCACAGAAGGACATTTGTTATTTAATAATCTACCAGCAGCATAAAGAAACACTTCGGGTTATATCGTTCTGCACTACACTGACACCCATGTTTAAAGATTACAGTAAAGACAGAAATAAAAATGGTGTTGCTGGAGATATAAATAAAAGTTTGCACTTATTCCCCATATCCACCTGTAAACCACTGCAGCTGGTTCCTACCTCCTGACAGTTGACTTCTAGAGTTCTTGTGGCTGGATTACCATTGACAACAACTGCTGTGAACCACTGAGTAGAAGGGTCCAGGCTATAAATCCTAATTTTTGAACCAATGATATTTTTTCCACCTACAAAATTGGGGAAAAAAAATAGAGCTTAAGATAAACAAGGCATGAAGATGACCACAGTTATCAAAATAAATTCTTCCTGTCCTTACAGTATGGGAAATGAAAACTGTAAGATGCAATATTTACCTTTTCAAAAAGGTCACTGCCTTCATGTGCAAGCACATAAGTACAAATATGCTGGTATGAACCCAATAATTAAGAATTTAAAGCAGGCAAACAAAAGAAATGGTTTGAATTTGAGTTTAAATTTGACTAAATTTGAGTTTCAATTTGACTAAAAAACAAAGCCTCTATACAACACCCTGGAAGTTTTCATAAACAAGCAACAAACTGGGAAAAAAACCTCAAGTTACTTGAAACAACAAACAACTCAATTTTTGAGAATTGCTACAAGTTAGATCTATTTCACAAGTACCAGGTCATCTGTATGTGCCTAAATTACATATTCACTCTTTCAAAAGAAATACTTGAAACTTAAACATCTACAATCCTTCACATTCTGCACTCACTGCTGTGAGAGTAAAATCAGCATTTTTTAAAAATCTTTAATCCCCTAGAACAGATTACCAATTAATTAAACCAACACTGCAAGGATTTCCCTTTGGACTTGGGCATTTATTGCCAGTTTTCTGCTCCACAGTATGCTTGTACCTTGGACCAAGCGTGTCTCATCAAGGTGTTTCTTAACCAGAGCCTGAATTTCCTCATTTACATTTTGATCATCTTTAAGAGAAAGCCTGGAACCATCCACATCCTATTTCAGGAAAAAAAAGAACGGAAGTTTGCATTCAGGATAATGCTTTTAACAAAATCCCACAATATTTAAAAACAAAATGGCAGCAATTCCCACAAATCCAGTTCTCATTAATCTGTTCCCCATCAGTTCTAGGATGTTGGACTGGAGGCAGGTAATTTTGTATCACTAATTCACAACAAGTATCTGCAAGAGAGACTGAAGGGAGCTCTCCAGGTCTACTTTAATGCTGTTCTGAAAATAACCCAGCTCTGTAGTACTACATTGCTAATGAGCAGTAAGTTGAATTGAACTGTCCAGTCTTAACTTAGGATTTTTAAGTCCTCAGAAGCAGCAGCATATTTGTCCTGAGCAGATGCAAATGAAAATATTTTATGTTTCTATTTATGATAATGCCAGGATCCAGTCTGTGTCAAGACATCATTATAAAATGTTTATATGAATGAAAACAGTCAACTACATCTAAATTATTTATCATTCTTCAGCATAATGTACATGTATTATTTCTTCCTCTAGAATTCTTGAATGAGAATTGATTCTGAAATGGAAAGGTCACAGCAAGTTTCCACCCAAGGCTCGAAGAGTGCAAATAAGAAAGGGATTTGGGGTTGGGTTTTATCTTTTTGTCCCAGGCACTGCTCTGATATTTTTAAGAGGCAGAAGACTGAAGAACTAGAAGTCAATAAACTGTTATTCAAGATGGCAGTAAAGCAATCTTTTCCACTGCAGTGCTGAGATAAAGCTTCAGCATAACGAGATCTCAACCCTGCTGTTGAGCCAACATAAGCAAGACAACTATCTACACCCCAAATTTGGCTTTTAGTGACTCTTGCATATTTGCTGACTGGTAACAAGTCTAAGTAGAACATTAATGATGGCACTACTTGCAGTCTCGACACAGGACAACCATTACTACTTGTATTTCAGATTATTTACAGGTCTTGAGAATAATTTCCTAAAAAGGCTAAATCCTTTATCTTTAGCAGATACTATTCTTCCAAACACCTGCTCAGGGACAATAGTTTCAACCCACCTGTATCTAATTTTCACTAACAACCTTTTCTCTGATGCTCAATAATTCCACCATCTCATTTACATTCTGCCCAATTCCTCATTTGTTTAGGATTAGCAGTGATGTGCTACTATTAAATAGCAAGATTTATGGCAGACATTCCTGCAACTCCTTGCACAAAGTTCATGTTCAAAAGAAGAAAAACTATTCCAGTTTCCCTTCAGTGAAAATCAACATGATTTTGAAGAAAATCTGTCACCTGAGGTGAATAACTGTCCTAGCACTGTCCCTCATCCAGCTCCCCTAAGTGACCCTGTCCTGAATCAACTCCAGAGGGTTTTTAATCAGACATAGTACATTCAGAACTGGTATTTATGAGTTATAGAAATAAACACCTACTACAAGTTTTTAACCCATCTGAAGTTTGCATTACCCTGATACATCCTAAATATCAAGGTAAGAGATTGATCTTTCATCTTTACAAAGCCAGTCAAGGTTACCTGGATGGGTGTCAGGAGGTCTTTAGAAAGGAAAACACATTTCTCTTCACCCAGGTAGCGCACTGAAACCAGTGATCCCATTCCAGCTTTGTCCACTAAGGACTTGTAGGTCTAAAAAAAGTGATAAACATGTTCTCAGAAAAAGAGCAAGAAAATCTCATCATTCACATTAAAAAAAATTAATTTTGCTTCTATTTCTCTGTTAAGTTACCATATCTACATGCAACTCTTGAAAACAAAGCTAGTTTCCAATAAAGCTTCTAACACACACTTAATGAAAGTTACTGGACTCCACTTGAAATTAATTTCATATATCAGTAAGAATTAGAAATTCAGTGCAGGTGGCTATCATTAGCAATTAATCATTTATGTCCACATGAAAAATTTATTAATGTAATAATTCTAATTGCAGATATATTACTAATAAACCTCTTTATGGCAGGCTGGGGAAATAGCTAGCAAATCAATCAATGTCTGCAGCATAGTTTACATTCAAGTTCTCAAAACTTGTGCAATCCTGATAACACACTGAAACCTTTATTTAGGCACACGTGATGATTTGGACAGCCTCATAGTTGTTGTAACACTGCAGTGCAATGATGAAGCTGTGTTCAGATATACCAAAAGCTTTAAGAACAGACAATAAACAAAATTTTCCTTTAAAAGCCTCTCAACACTTACTAATGTGTTAAAAATTAAATTTTGTCTAGTGAAAGTACCAGATCTGAGAGGACAAGCACCAGGAGCCTGGAACAACAGAAGTGGCAAGAGTAACTCCTCCCTACCTGAAAGGTGTAACTGTGCCCCGTTTTAAAAAGGAAATAATTCTGATAGGAGAAGGCTTTTTCTTTGACCAGTCCTCAAAAAACCCAACCAGATACTCCTTCTTGTCTTCATTTCAGTTAGGACAGCACTGGCAGAGGGACAAGATCCCCACATGAGGGACAGGAGTCTGTACAGGAGTAACTGGGCATTACAACAGTCCTACAAAGCCACCCCATTTGTCAAAAACACTCTCCCATATACTTGAACAAGTAAGTTGTGATCAAGTTTCAAATAAATGAATCCACACAGCTCTTCTGTGACCTCTGCTTTCCTGCCCTGTGTGATGGATGATAAAGGGAGAAAAAGTCTTTTTTTGCCAAGGCAAGGTGCAGGACTGGCCTACATTTGATCCTACATCTTCCTTTGCTAAATGAACTTTGGAACATGTACCCTGCATGAACTGACATGTCAAACACCTCAGGAGGAAAACCTTATGCCAAAACTGAAGACAAGTATCCAGTAAAACTATTCAGATACTTGGAAATGGACAACAACTTAGTTTAAATACAAAGGTATTCAGAACAAGCTGTCAGCAAAATCTACCAGAGGATATTAATGCACAGCCCAGGAAATAAAAGTAAGGATTTATATTTCCATTTTCTCTCCCATTCTATTGGGTCCTACTTCCAATAAGAGCTGCTTAGATTGGCTTTGCTTAAGAAAAAGACCAGCTAAAATGCAGCAATATGAATTACAATGCACACTTTACACCTAGCAAAGTTAATAGCATTAAAACACAGACTACAGCTTCAGCATAATTCATGTTCAGCAAGTTTACATGTTTGCATTTTCACTTATCTCACTACTTTCTTGAGCAGCAATATCCAAGGTAGTCAAGCACAACTACACTGGCTGAATACATTAAGAAATGTTCCCTGTTCACATCCCCTGGCTAATTTGCCTATTCAGCCAAGCATGGCAGGTACAGAAAGCTTAGTTCTCTCCTTGTACAGTATAGCTCAGCTTTTTGTATGCAAAAAATCTGAATCTCACAAATCATTCATACTAGGCAGGCATCACATAAAAGTAATACAAATTATTTTTGTCTTAGGATCAAGAATCACCACAGCATTAACTTGAGGCAGAGTCAAAAACTTAAAAGAAAAACACAGGCTATCCTTAGAAACCTATCATTTACACTTTTTCTCTCTATTTTTAAGAGGAATTTCATGGAAGAAGAAACAAAACACAAGACTAGAGGGAGAACGAATTAGCAATGTACAGAACAGTGGTTTGAGAGAGAAGCAAACCAACTCCAAATGCTGCTGAGCTCTGTCAGCTCAAGCTGCACAAAGAGATTTTCTCCCTTCCCAAGACACCCAGGAGTGAGGCTGAGGCTGCACTGGAGGAATTCACACTGGTGACAACGCTGTCCCAGAAGGTGGAACTGCACAACCCAAGTGACTCAAGCCAGGAGTGTACTTGCCATTGCAGGCCACTGGACAGGAGGCATGGACTGGGTTTTTCTTTCAGCCAGCACCAGCTTTTGCTCCACCAGGAATGCTATCATCATCCTGCTGTAGACTTCTATCCACCTTCGCTTCTCCCATGATTCATCATCAAATTCTACACAAATCTACAGAAAAGAACCAGAGTGAGTGAGTGACTACCTATAAAATTCAGACATGTTCAACATGGAAAAGATAAACCCATCAATTTACTAAAAAAAAAAAAAAGCATTTAATGTACTTTTAATTCCAGCATGATTATTGCCTGTCACATAATCAAGCAATTACTAAAGCATCCAAGGTTGACCCAGTATTTTATAAGTGACAGTCAATGTTAATTAGTTTATCATCATTTCTCACATAAAATAATAGTATTGACATTTAACTTTACAACTTCCCATCTCAAAGTTTTATGCTGCTTAAAGATAGTTAAATATGTTAATAGTGTCACTGGTGTTTACAAGCAGGGAAAAATATACACACCCCTCCCTAAAAAAGTCCACTAAAGCTAAAGGACTGCCACAGTCGTGGCACATGGATTTTCCACAAACTCTAAAGCACTGGAATAAACAAGCTGGGTTTTTTTCCAGAATTACTTAAAAATACCAATCCCAAAGAATAACTTCAGCCAGCTTATTGAAAGCATAAATGACAGGACAGCAAAGGTGATCAAATTATGTAATGTGAAGGTCACTTCTTGACTGCTTTTAACTGCTATTTATCCTTGTGGATTTCAGAAACAACTATGCAGATTTCTCAAGAGGAAAGCAATTTCATGGCAAAAATATGATGGCTTGACCAATGTCTTTTCAAAGACCAATGTCTTTGAAATTACCCTAATTTCAAAGGCAACATGGGAGATCAGCAAGTTGTTGGGAAAGACCACAAATACAACTTGGCCTGAAATCAGGAATTGGAACATCTTGGTAGAGGACTCTACTCTTGGAAAAAACATTTTCTTTTCCCAAAGAATACAGCAATCTAGCCTAACTGCATTTAACAAACAGCACAGAAATCTCAATTGAGTGAACCTCAGAAACATTTCCTGGAGTTTTATCATCCCTCTCAGGGGAAAGGCAAGTGAAAACATGCACACAAACAGCATTACCACAGCCAGGAGTCATCGAACTAATGGGTGCAGAAATGAACTTGGTAATTTTGAGGTGCAGAGAAACAATGAAAGAGATAAGCAAATAACAACCAGAACCAGAATGGCTTGTTTTGTCTACTGCACACACACGAAAACACAGTTGAGAAAGTCATTTCAACAGCAGTTGACAGTCCTTCTATATAAAATAAAAATTGAAATAAATACTTCTACTCTTTTATAGGATTAATACTTAATTCCCTCTATCAGTCCTTTACTTTTTCGGGTCTGTGATGCTTGTACAGAACTCTGAAAGGAAAGGAGATGGGATGTGTTTTGGTACAAAGCTCTCCACACCACCACTGCCCATTCTGCAACTTCTTTACATTTCAGCTGGAGAACACATCAAGTCAATCGCTTCTGGCAGAACCGTAACCAGCCACAAAGCTCACAATAGAGACCCCATCAGCACCTGCTTCTTCTCCTCTGAGGACAAAGTCCCTAAGAGTTTTCTGCAGCAAGAACCTCCTCCTCACGACCAGCACGGCACAGGGCACAGCCCCGCGCCCAAAAATGGACAAAGCTCCACCCCTGCCGAGAACCACAACAACAGGCTGATAACAAAGTTTACGCTTTCAAGAAACAGTTAGAAACATCCAAAGTTTCGTTTTGCTTGACAAGAGAGGTCACTAAATTGCCATCAAAAAAGAGGAAGATGGTGATGTTCTGGCTGTCACAGGACAGCCATCGAAGTCTTCTGTAGAAACAAGCACAGGACGCCGCTGCTACAATGGAGTTTTGTCCTTGGGGTCAAGCACTCAGTTCATTCCCTAGTAAGTGTCCAGACATGGCTGAGTACTTCTAATGTCTACAGTTGCCAAATAAAGTCCCTTACTAACTTCACAGCCGAACCGTAAACTTCGCTTGACTCCCACACAAGATACACAGCTAACCAATTACACCACGCTTGCAGTAACTGTGTGCTCAAAAACCCACTTGGTAATCATTAATAAGAGAGGCCACCATGCAAGAAGAGTCCGAGGGACCTCCAGCACCAGGCATGAATTTGGTGTGACTTTAAAACCCAAGTAGTTGTTCGTGACTTCAGGAAAGGAAAGTCACCGATCCCAACAGCATTGCAGGGTTTCGGTTTCAACTGTGGGGCAAAACCTGTTCACAGGTGGCAAGACCTTAAACTACCTTTAGGAAATAAACCATAGGCACAGTGGGTGCGGTAAAAACCTGCTTTTCAAAATGCCAGTGGAAGAAAGCACATTTATAATTAGTTAGAGATAATTTGCGGCATTAGCACAAGCCCATGGGGGAGCTGGGCAGGGGTGCAGGTTTCCAAAGGCCGTCTGCTCTGCCCCCGGGAGCAGCATGTGCACACACGTGTACACCAACCACACCAACTTCCCCCGGCACGCTCTCGGCTCAGCAGCTCCCTCGGAAAGTTCCCGGTTACCTTCAGGTCTTGTTTGGATATGTCCGTGTGTGACACTGCCCGGATCCTGCCCGACTTCCAGGGCCATTCCGAGATGAGGCTGGCGTCCCACGTCCTGTCCTCCTCTTCCGACAGGCAGAGGAACCGCTTCCCTACGAGCAGCGACCAGCTCCCCTCGAGCCTCAGCACCATTTTAACTCATCGGGAGGCCTTCAGCGAGGAAAGCGACGGAAGGAGGAGAGAAACACATAGGGCAGGGCGGTGAGCGCTTCCTCCTTCCTCTCCCGGCCGCCCGCCCCGCTTCTCCAAGCGGCTCCAGCCGGACCCCCGGACACCCACAGGTCGCCCCCCGCCCACGGTCCTGTTAATCACTACTCAGCGAGGGTGGGTGGAAGGAAACACCAGAAGGTATTTCCAGAAAAGCTGCAGCGCAGCTCCCGGCCATTCCCACCCCCGCCGCCTCTTTGTTTCCTCCTCCGAGGAGTCAGAGCGCCGGGCGGCAGCCGAAGGGAGGGAGCAGGCGACCAGGCCAAGCTCCTTCCGCCTCACCAACACCCCGGCCTGCCCACCCGGGCAGACCTCCAGCCCTGCCGCTGCCCTCACCTGCTCCCCCCCGGCCCCGCTGCCGGCGCACCCCGCAGTCACACCGGGCACGGCTCCCGCTCCCCTCCGCCCCCCCGCGCCGACCGCCGCCGCGGCCAAGCGACACTGTCGGAGCCGCGCCGCGCACACGCCCCCTCACCCGTGCGCGCGCCCCCGTCCCGCGCCCCTATTGGCTGCGCCGCGCCAGCGGGGCGGGGCCGGCAGAGAGCCTCCCGCCGCGATTGGCCCGGGGGGGCGGGGCCCGCGCGCCTGGCCACACCCCCGAAACCGTTGCTCAGCAGATGGCGGCTTAAAAAATAAAAACGATATATCCTTCCGCTTGAGCTTCGAGGGAAGGAGTCCCTCGGGGCCAGCCCGCGGAGCGCCCGCAGCCGAGCCCCAAGGGAGGCACGAACGCGCTCGGAAGGGCCGGGGCGCCTCTCTAGGCCCGTGTTCCTGCCTCGGGAGCGCCGAGCCTCCAGCTATTGGAACTGCCTTTAGAGACGGCGGAGGGATCGAAGCGAGGCCAGAGGGCGTGATACGGTCCCTTATACGTGCGGCTCGCGGCGTACTCAGATATAGCACAGGGGGCGGTGGCACCTGTGGGGCGCCTCTGCGCATGCGCGCGGGGCGGGACCAGCACCTGCGGGTGCCCCACAGGCCGCCATCTTGTCATGCTGAGGGAAATGGGGGCAGGCGGGCCCTGCGGGGCAAGGGACCTGGAACGTTGTGAAATATGACAAAATAACAATGTGCCCGAGGTTTCTGGGGAGGACAGCAGGCTGTGGAGGCCTTCCATTTGTGGTTGATGGAGGTTGTGTAGTTGCATCTAAAAGCAAATGGCTTCCACCAGCTCACACCTTTAACATGAGACCTGTGTGTTCTTACAAGTAACAAGGCAAGATGACAGAATCATAATTGGTTTGGGTTGGAAGGGTTCTAGTGCCTTGCTGTCCTCATAGGGAAGAATCTCTTCCTTATGTCTAATCTAAACCTATTTCCTTTCAGTTTAAAGCCATTCCCAATGAGAACCAAGAAGGAAAACAGAGAATATGACATGATCTGGGTGGTGCTGTTCAGCAGTGACCCAAACGACACACGTACTCCTCTACTGTAAGACTTGCCCACCAGAGCATGTGGGAGGAAAAGACCAAAAGTGCAGAAAGTACCCAAGGCAAAGAAGCTGTTGACTCATCCAGTTTACTGAAGTCTCACGGTGCTCAGTTTTGGCTTTCTACAGGGTTCCTTCCATCACCAGAGATGTCTGAGCTTCAAAAACTCCCATTAGAGAATGCTGCGGTAATTCTGCCATGTTGTGGTCTCATCCATCATTTTCTCCAAGAATCCATTTCCACACTTGGGTTAAATGTATTTTTAAAGCCTTTCTCACCAATTTGCTTTCACCAATCATTTGCTTGCTACATTTAAACAAACACATTCATATATGAAATCAAAAAGCTCAAAAAATTCCTCATGTGCCATGATGAGGAAATTGCTGTCTACTCCATGGAAATCAGACAGTCCAATTTCTTTTACAACTGTAGGGAATCTCCAATGATTTCTATCAATGAGATGAATTTAGTAATTGCTACAATTTTCAGCAGGGAGAAACAAAAGAAATAAAAGTGAATAATAAAAAAATGATAGATCAGCAACTGTATGCAGTCTGAAGAGCCACTCATTAGCTAGCGCTGAAAGAAAAAAGAGGTATGTTTGCTTCTCAGATTTAAATGTTTACTATATAAACCAGACCTGCAAGATGGAATTTATGATATCATAGAAAACAAGATAGATGTGAAACTGCCAAATGATTTGTTTCATTGTAGACTTTAGGCTCGTGTAGCAGTAGCTGTACAATTGACACATCACACCATGTAGGTGTTGCATAACCTCATTATTTAAAGCCCTTAGATTTTCTGCAGAGAGAACACTTTGCCTCAAAGAGTAGATGATTAATACATGCAGGAAGAGGGATGTCAGGCTATAATGAAGCAATATTAGTCAATGTAATAGATCAAGCTGTTGGTAGCACTCCAGTTGCCTAATAGTATTTTTTTTTCCATTAGCATCAGAATAAAGGAAGGCTTTAAGGAGAGATTGGAACGACAACAATGTAAGTTTAGTGAATGAGCAGCTCCCACATGCAAAGAATGGCATGGAGGTTGGTCAAAGGTGTTTTAAATTTAATGTTTTGGGTAAGTCATGGGCTGGAATGCTGGAAAAACAGGATTACATAGTCCATTAATGTCCTTGAAAATGAACTTCTATAGGAAAGGATGCTAAAAGATTATGTGATCAAAGAGCAGCATTCTGAATGAATAAAATAAAATAAAATAAAATAAAATTAATTGGCAGAGACAGAAGAGAAGATGGGGAAGCAGACAGAGCACAAGTTGACAGAAGCCTGGAAAAACTCAATCATCCATGGTACAAACAAGCATTCAAAGTCCAGAAAAAATATAGGTATTCAAACCCTAGGGGTTAAGAAGAAGTCACACAACTGAAGACTTTTTGCTTTTGAAACAGAGAAAGTAATTAGCTACTTGCTTCCATTCCCTAGGATTCTTAATTTCTTGAAATTAAATAAGGACCAAATATCTTTCTTAAATTATCTTGCTTCTTTAAAAGTTATAAGTTAAAGGTAACCAGTAAAGTCTTGGGTCGAAAAGTGAAACACATAAAATTTAAAATTATGACTCTAAACATCTCTAAATTTGCTGCATTATTTAAGAACTTGTCTCTCAGTATGACAACCATACAATACAGGAAAAAGTACTGTAATTATAATGTTTGTAATTGTTTTTCTGAACTGGTTATTTTATCATCACTCACAATAATCTCCACAAAAACTAATGTCTGTTGGAAATACTTTGTGTGTATTTGCCCACCTTCAATGTGTCAAGAGAAACATCAAAATGTTCATTTATAAGTTTCAAGTTAACCCTGTGATAATGGCACAGATGCAATTGTCTCACTGCATTATTTGCCTCTGGAAAACTCAATGTCTGTTGAAGTACCTGCAAAACAAAGCAGTGTAGTAAATAAGCAGAACTGATTGAACCTCAAGACAGCAGGTTTCAGCCTGTTCTTCTGTCTGCATGAAGTCTTGAGCATAATTTTTTCCAGCTGGCCCTACCTACTGGGTTGAACTGGTAATAGGTAAGCCTTTAGCTCCTATGTGAGAAAGAAGTAATCTCTGCAAACAGGAGCTCTTTAAACAGTAACTTCAGAACACACTTCAATAAATTCTTCCTTTCAGCCCCCATTAAGTAGCAGAAAATTTCTCTTGTGTGGGGTATCACTAGAAAAAAAAAAAGAAGAAGAGTCTTTGAGGTTTGAATTTAATGATTTGAATTTAACAGTTCAGTTTCAATTGGAATTTAGCAATAAAACTCAATAGCCAATTTTATGCCTAAACAATTGCACATTCAGGCATTACGCCTACCTCTCTGCATATAAAATCTGGATGTGCTATTCAAATATTTGTGCTTGAAAATTGGCCTCCCACTACCTAGAAGTATTTGATGTCACAGATACTTTACAAGAAAGGGGCATTTCAGTCAGAGAAGGGGCTCTAGATAACATTAACTGTCCTGGCACTGTGTTCTCCAAAGATGTTTTCCATACGAGGGAGCAGATTGTTTTTCAGGGCTCTCCTGCATTTCCAGGTTGAACCTACAAGTGTGTGTGCAGCTACAACAAGCAATGATCAGTGCAGGAAATTATGGACCTGGTTTTTAAAATCTCTACTGTGGTGACATGTAGGGGTCTCCATTCTCAATCAAAGGCCCTCTGCCTGGGGGAATGTACAAGCACAGAAGAGGAACATGGAGTCCTTTATATTCTAGTGATTAATGATGGAGGTGTAAGGATGTGTAATTCAAGTTGGAAGTGCCTGTGGTCAGGCTGTGAAACCACCAGCCAATAGCACTGGGGCTGTGGGGTTGATCCCTGTATGGGATATTCACTTCAGAGCTGCACTTGGTGATCCTTGTGGGTCCCTTCCAACCCAGAATATTCTGTGAACTGGAAACAGAGCTTTGGGAGATAACCCATTTACTTGTTTCTCCAGTATGTCTTGAGATGTGGTGCTAAAGAATGAACAAAAACAACCAGAAACCTTCTTACTCAGTAGCACCAAACTGATGCAGTTAAATGTCTCCTGAAGTAGCAAATGTGGAGCAGTCTCTACTTGTATCCAACCTGGCTCTAGTTATAGCAGGGGAAGGTAAAAGCTCCTTACTCAGGTACAGCCTCCTTACCTCAGCACACCTCACCTGCATCAGCTTTGCAAGAGTGGCAGGACTGGTTCCAAATAATTTTTTCACTCATTATCTCTTTACCATAACTTAAAATAAAATAATTCATGTCATACATTAGTTAATATTTTCTCACTGTCTGCAGCTGAAGGAAGCACATATTTTGATACAAAGTACATTTTAATTTCATGCAATTAAGTTGACTTGCTGAAGGGAAATGCTGACCTACTCTTTTCCACTCCTATACCCATTCTGCAGTGGGGACTGTCTTTTGCTGGTGATGAGTTAGTAGGACTTCAATTTTTTGTCCCAACTGTAGAAACAGGAAATCATGAGGGGACTCTTAGGATGATAAATCAGGATCAATTATTAAATTTTAATTGACTGTTAATTTAGCATTTAATTATTTAATTGTGTGTTAAGTATTATCTGGGGATTGAAATTAGATATTAAATTTTGCAGGTTAATTCTAAAGTTAAATTAGTATTTATAGACAGAGTAAAGCAATAACCTTTACAAAGTAACCATGAACAAACATTATACATGAAGTGTGGTGAGTAATTCTATGCTGGTTTTGTTTTCCCTTGACTGCTTCAGAGGAAGAAGGCCTGTTGTGGAAGAAAAAAGCTCTTTCCCCTCAGGTAATAATACATTATCAGTTAATAATTCAAAGGGTTTGGGGTATCATTCTTAAATAAAAGAATGCAAATCAATATTATCTTGATGGATATATTTGAACCACGTTGTAGAAACCACCACCACAGCAGGAATGTCTTGGTGCTGTACAAAAGGAGACATTGGGTAAAGACATACAGTGAACTTTAAGCAACATTGTTTAATGATCTGAGGAGAGTTATTCTTTGTTAATTAGCCTAACCTCCTGAAGTCTCGCACCAAAACTGCAAACAGAACCTGTTACTCATATTTTGCTACTTAATAATGTCCAGGTTCTTCCATCATTGAAACAACGTAACCTGGCTTTGGCAAAGTTAGACTTCACACCATTTCCTGCCAGTGCCAGAGAGATTCTTTTAGTTTATTTCAAGTCCATCCTGCTCTTTATTTTAAACAGATCTGTTTTGTGATAGAGTGTCTTCCCTTGGGAGGAAATTTACACCTTTCTCTCATGGATCTGACAGATTTCAGCAGCTTGGGCTGCTGGGCATGTGCAGGTGTCAGGTCAGTGATTCCTAGACTGGGGATAGAAATTGTTCTCATTTTAAAGTAAAACTAAACTACCCTCCTACGTACTTTTCTAAGAACATTTGGACTAAATCACACTGCTGCTTTTGATTATTCAAATCCACATCTTGGAAAGTCTCTTTCAGCCTCTGTAATTTAATGCAGTTTTTGACAAAGTAGTGAACATTTGAGAAGTGGTGATCCTCGGGTTACAAGTATGTGCAATTTGGACAAGAACTTTGACTGTTCTTGAATGTGTATCCACTTAAAAAGAGGCTCAGCCTTTTGACTGGAGGGAGGACACACTGGAGAGTGATCTCGGTGGGTGGTTGTAAGTGCATGAATCTTATTGATGGACTGCAAATCCTTCCACCCCCTGCAGAGAACTCCAGCTCTCTTGGCTCTAGTTCTTCTGTCCTGTCACTTACCAACTCGCCCTTGAACTGGAGCAATAAATATATTGTGTGCTTTACCTGCTACTGCAGTAACTGATTCCAGTGGAAAAATGCAGTAACTTTTCACATGAAGGGTCAACTGAGAAATAATTCCCTATTTTTAAAAAATTCTGTCTATTGTGCTGATATAATGTTAACAAAGCTAAAGTAATGTATCACTGAAGCTAAAAAAAATTTGAAATATTAAGAAATATTAAGATACCAGATATTGGTGTATATACAACTGGGAATATTTAGAAGTTGTATATTGCTAAATGTGACCTAGTTGGTACAGCACAGAGCTGGGAGCCAGATCTGGAATCTAGCACTGTGTGTGTCATAAGGCAGATCATTTAATTCACCTCATTTCTCTGTAAGTGGGGATAACAATAATCATTCTTATGAATTGCTTTGTGTTGTGCACCTGAAAGATGATGAGTTCTATAGCTACTAATTAAACATTATTTTAATCTTCAAATTTACTTTCCCTGTTAAACTTTAATAAGTGTTTATGCTCCCTTAATGCCAGAGAGGAAAAAAAGCATGATTGTGAAGCAGCTGCTAAGAATTTCTCCCAGAAGATATTTAATATTAAATTGGGATTGACTCATCTGTTTTAGATAAAGGGGCAATGCAATAAATAATAAGTGAGAGTTGAAATTTTGAGTAAAAAAATATTCAAAGCAGAATCAGAGCAGCTGACACCCCAAACTGGCTCCCACCCCCCAGTACCCTCTGTCCAGAAATTGGAAATAGGCATTGTAATTTCTCTTTGGCTTAGAGCAAATGTAACAGTATTGCTTATAAATAGTCACAGCTGTAGGTTACAGATTGTTCCTGTTGTTCTCTCAGTGTCAGCTCTCCTGCCTTGTGCAGAGGGCTCTGCATCTCCACCCAGCCCAGGAGAAGGGAGCACTGGGCAGTTCTGGGGCCACTGGGATTGCAGTGGACTGGTAATTATTTCATTCACTGTATTTGTCATTGTAAACCACTTTGTGATTTTCTACTCCTCTCTGTAAAGTTCTCCAAGTCAACTACATGTCAGTGAAACTTTACAGTGTATTTTCCCTGGTCTCTCTTCACAGCTGTCAGAGACTAATGGCTGCCCTCCAAACCCTGGGCTTTGATGGTAGAGGTTTGTGGCTAAAATTAAAACAGTGGTTCTAAAGCAGATTCCTAACTCCAGTGAAACGAGGAATTTCATCCACTGATTTAAGAGATCATATGGCAGCCCTGTCTTCTTGTAAGAAGAAGATTGTAATCTGTCCTGTCTCTTTCTTGTCTCTTCTGAAAAGCATAAGAAGGTACATTTGAACTTTTCCTGCTTCCCAATATCTACTGCCCAAAACAGCATAATTGCAGGTCTTTTTCCAAAATGGAAATTACATTTTCCAGTTTCCTATGCAGAGGAGCTTCTGCTGTGGCATAGATTTCTATTGCTGCTTTTTACTCTTATTTCCTATACACAGT